TGGGCTCAAGCGAGTCTCCTGCCTCCGCCTCCCAAGTAGCTGGGACCATAGGCGCCTGCCACAACACCTGGCTATTTTTTGGTTGCAGCCATCATTGTTGTTTGGTGGACCCAGGCTGGATTCAATCCCGCCACCTTGGGTGTATGTGGCTGACGCCTTAGCCACTTGAGCCACAGGCGCCAAGCCTCCACTGTGCGTTTCTGAAGGGTGATTCTGAGTACAAGCATCCTTCCAGGCTCTTGGGTAGCCCCCATCATGTTTGCAATGCTGCCCAAAGGCTGAATAGTTTGGAGGGAGCGTCTTATACCCTTTGGAAAGCTCCTGTTCCTAGACTTACTGCACATGGCACATTCTAACTTCATCTCTAAAATGCTTGGCTAAATGCTATTTGTTGGAAAACTGCAGAAATACAGTAGAACCTCTGTAAGCTGACCACTCAAGGGACTGTCACAAACTGGCCAATGTATGGAGGTGGTCAGCACAGGGACTTAGTCTTCTGTGCTGACACTCACTTGTGGTCAACTCAAGGAGGTGGTTAATGTAGGGAGGGACCCTGTGAAGGGTCTGCTGTGCATGTAAAGTTATATAGAATATAGCAGCAGGCTTACTTTCTTAAAATATTAGGTCAATTAAAGAACTTGTTGTTTTGTTTCTGAGGAAGAGTCTTGCTGTTTCCTGGGCTAGAGTACAGTGGTGCCATCACAGCTCACAGCAACTTCAAACTCGTGGGCTCAAGCAATCCTCTTGCCTCAGCCTCCCAAGTAGCTGGGACTACAGGCATCTGCCATGACACCCAGCTAGTTTTTTGTATTTTTTATAGAGATAGGGTCTTGCTGTGTTGCCCAGGCTAGTCTTAAGTGATCCTTGCAGCCTTAAGTGATCCTTGTGTCTCAGCTTCCCAAAGTGTTCCCAAAATTATGTATGTGAACCACCTTGCCCAGCCAATGATTATTAACTTTGAATTGAAAATCTAGGCATTAATCTAGTTCAGATGCATTAAAATGTGACAAGCTGATTGTTTTTATTTCAATTTACTTAAATATAGTTCCATCAAGACCAACTTCTCCTGAGAAGTTTTCAGTGCCTCACATCTGTGCCAGGTTTGGTCCTGGTGGCCAGCTCATTAAAGTGATTCCGAACCTCCCTTCAGAAGGACAGCCTGCCCTGGTGGAGGTTCACAGCATGGAGGTACGGCCTGGTGCGAGCACAGTGCCACTTGTGCTCTGTGCTTTACCGCTGTTATCTTCACCTGCCAATCACTAGCTGTGGACTTACAACTTTAGAAAATGTTTATTCCTGTGAATCTTCAGTTTGTAGGCTTTTTACTCTGGGCAAACCATTTTCCTCCTAGATGTCAGTGTTTCAGCATCTGCGTCGGGTGTTAGACTTGGTGGTATTGCATTTGCTGCTTCTGTCTTAGTTCATATTTTTTGACTTTAGGGATGTTTGCTTTTCTGGGGTGCTGCTGCTCAGTCCAGTGGTGGGTAGACCACGTACTACTGAGTTCAGGGAGGTGGGCAGGCATCCTGTCCTGCAACCCCGGCTGGCCTCTTCTGTTGCATGTGTTGGGGCCCTGCTTCAGAGTTTGGGGAGAAAAAAGTGGATCTTACCACCTGCCATTTGAAAATCCTTGTCATAGACCAGACTTTGTGCCTTTACCTCCTCATGGGGAGACCTGCTGCCCCTGAGGGATGGTGTCTAACTCAGTCTCCAGTGCAGCCCGCAGACATGGCTCAGGCATTTGTCACATGCTGGCTGTGCTGGCCCTGAATGAGCAGTCTGTCCCCTCTTCTTACAGACTTTGCTGCAGCACACAGCTGAGCAGGAGGAGATGCGGGCATTCCCAGGGCCTCTTGGCAAGTACGTTTCTCAGTGGGCCTTCCCTAATGTCTGCACGTGCCAGTTGCTGAGATTGCCCCCAAAGACACAGCTGTTCACTGTGTTTGTTCCTTTGCAGAGGTGATACCCATAAAGTGGACGTCATTAACTTTGCACAGAACAAGGCTACAAAATGTTTGCAGGACGAAAATTTAATTGACAGAGAATCTGCAAGTCTTCTGTGGAATTTCATCATTCTTTTGTGCAGACAGAATGGGGTATGTTTATTTTTGCTTCGATCACATTTCTCTCTTGGCTTTTCCTCTCAGGGGCTCCTCAGTCCTGCAAAGGAAGTGGGCTAGACCCACGTCCCTGGCTTTGGCGGTGGGCAGTGCTGCCATCAGGGGCTCCTGTAGGATGGAGCATCTCAGCAACAGCATGAGGAGGAAAGGGCCACTTGGTTTGGGGCGAGTTGAGGTTTTAGCCCAGCTGTTGTTAGCCTTTTGGGGGGATTGTGGGTCAGTCTGTCATGTCCTGAACTGTGCCCAGGTGTGTGCCTGTGGTGATATAACATCCTCACCTGACCTGTTTGGGTACTCTCTTGTCGCCTCTCTGGGAATTTTGTCCTGATTAAGCCTGTGTGCTCCTTCCTACCCCATTACCCTTATAGACCGTGGTGGGAACCGACATTGCGGAGCTCTTGTTACGAGACCACCGAACAGTGTGGCTCCCAGGGAAGTCCCCCAATGAAGCGAACCTGATTGATTTCACTAACGAGGCAGTGGACCAAGTGGAAGAGGAAGAAGCTGGTGAGGCGCAGCTCTCCTTCCTCACGGATAGCCAGCCTGCTGCGGCCAGCACGCTGGAGAGGGAGACGGAGCGATTCAGAGAGCTGCTGCTCTATGGCCGTAAGAAGGTGAGCTGTTCCCGTGTCGATCACAGAGCTCCCAGGTGTCTTCTGAGTACTCCCTGGGGAAGGCAGAGCTCAGCTCTCAGGCCCATCGGCCGTGTCCTGGATCTGACTGTTTCATGAGCTGGCCGGTCCCTTATATGTCCTCTCTCTAAAGGGGCAGATGTTAGTTTCCGTCTAGGTATTGCCAGTGTCTGGACTTCACGTTCTGTTTTCAGTTTTTCAACAAGTAAACTTGTGTGTTGAGCACGGGCCTTGTCCCTGCCATGTACCGAGTCTCAGAGTTAAAAGTGTGCAGGAGATAAGCCCATTCTCACAAAGCTGGGACAGGGGCTGGAAACTGGGAGGATGTGCCAGGCATGTGCCAGTCAGAGGCTTATTGCAGTGAAGGCTGCAGGCAGTGGAGAGTAGGGGGTGTGCCGCTGAGCAACTACAGTCACATTTGTGTGGGGGGACATGGGTACCAGAGTTTGTGCTGTGGACACTCCTGCTCACGCAGAAGGGAGGGAGGGACTGAGCCTGCTCTGGAAAGGGGTGTCCAGAGCGAGTCTGCTGAGATAGCATAGGAGGGGGCTCTAGGATGGATGACGTCCATTCTGAGCAGTAGGGATACCTGATAAGCCTAGTGTTCTCCATGCTTGTGTATCCCAGTAAACTCAGCAAGGCCATATCTGATTGTTATGAATTTAATATGGATATTTTACAACTGTTTGAAATCTGTTAGCTTTTATTATATTTACCTCTATTGCAAACCGTTTTCCTCTTAGCCAGAAGTTCTAAATCAAGGGGATCCAACTTTTTCCCCTCTGTCACACACTGGACGACAAACACTAATGAAAGCTGATGAGCAGAAAAGTCCACACGTACTTTTCATCATTTCTGCCACATAGATAAGAAAAACATCCTCAAATAGTCAGCAAGTGGCCCTCAGGCCGCAGGTTGGACAGCCCTGTTTAAAGTGTACCCCAGATTATCTCTGGAGCTGCTGTCTGTGCTGGACAGTGTCTGACTGGCCTCCCGGCATCTAGAGTTGGGAGTGCTCTTTGCCATAAGGCTTTGCACAGTGGACAGGACAGTGTGGGGACAGCGGCACTTCTTAGTTGTCCCTGGCTGTTTTCATGCTGAAAATGAATAATAAAAGCAATATACATCTACCACAGGGACTTTGGAACTAGGGAAAATGATAAAGTACTGGGTTTTATTTAATCTCAGAACTGCCTTTAGCTTGTTTGTCTCTCAATCTGCCGTCCTCCCTTTCTCCTTTCCTGTCAGTGGGCGATGACACGTGGCAGTTTTCCTCTGTTACTTCTATCACTGCTTTTCAGGATGCCTTAGAGTCTGCGATGAAGAATGGCTTATGGGGTCATGCTCTATTACTTGCAAGTAAGATGGACAGCCGGACACATGCCCGAGTCATGACCAGGTATGGGACCTCCTGGCGTGGCTGGCCTGGCGCAGAGCAGTCAGCTCCCTGCAGCACACAGGTGCTGGTGGCTTTCATTGATAGCAGGCAGGTTTCATTCTTGCTGTCAAACACAGACTCGGGCCTCCTTGACCCTCCTCACTGGGTTGTATTGCCAAGGGTTTTCAAATTCCTTATACTAAATGAATGGTTTTTAACACTATCTGTAAAATCTCAGTGAATTTCTTCATCTTTATGGCTTTTTTTTTTTTAATTGAAACATGTCTACTTTGCTGAGGTTAAATATAAGTCTAATCACTAAATAAAAGGGCTAAGATCAGACTGTTTTAAAACTGAGCTAGAATTAGGTCTTTGTTTTTATGTCTCCCTAGGTTTGCCAACAGTCTTCCGATCAATGACCCTCTACAGACTGTCTATCAGCTCATGTCTGGGCGGATGCCCGCTGCATCCATGGTGCGTGATGGCTTATGGTGGCTTCCTTTTCTATTTGGAGTCTGCTCCCATAAACCACTCTTCCCAGGATGGAGAGTCCTGTGCTTCTGACCTGAGATTGCTCACTAGTGCTCAGCCATTATGGGTTAAAGCCACGTGCTCTTCCAAAGACAAGGATCTGTTTTGTTTTCTCTTCCAGTGATAAGGGTCTGATTTTTTCCCTCTAATTTTAGTGTTGTGGAGATGAGAAGTGGGGAGATTGGAGGCCACACCTTGCTATGGTCTTGTCCAACTTGAACAACAACGTCGACGTAGAGTGTAGGACCATGGCCACGATGGGCGACACTCTGGGTAGGTCAGGTGCTGGGGCAGGAGGTGGCTGCGGCGGTAGGCTGCGAGGCCTCGTGGATGTGAGCTGTGACGCAGCCTTTCCTTCCCTGGCGTGTCTTGTGGCATCTTCCTTCAGCTCCCTTTGGTTTCTGGGAGGATTCGCAGGGAGTGAGGCTTGGCCTGTTTTGTGTCCCTCTGTAGCTTCGAAAGGTCTCCTTGATGCTGCCCATTTTTGCTACCTTATGGCCCAGGTTGGATTTGGGTTTTATACCAAGAAATCTACGAAACTTGTCTTAATTGGATCAAATCACAGGTAAGAAATCCAGTAAACGTAGTGTATGTTTTCCTTTGAGAAGATGAAAACTTCCTCTCCTTCAGTTAATTCAGAGGTGGCCTTGAGTCTTTGTCACCTTGTAGGACACATGTCAGAGTGACTGCTCCAAGGTTGACAATGCCAATAACTGGCCATTTTTTCAAATCCAATAATTCATTTCCTTGACAGTTTGCCATTTTCAAAGTTTGCAACCAGTGAAGCGATTCAGAGGACCGAAGCCTATGAGTATGCGCAATCCCTGGGGGCCCAGACACACTCTCTGCCCAGTTTCCAGGTGAGCAGGGTGACGTCGGCCCGCAGCTTTCCTGTGACAGGGGACAGTCAGTGCTGACGAGCTTTTGGTGGTTCTTTTTTTTTGAGTTCTTCCACAAAAAATGCTGTAGTTTTGGGGAAATCTTGGGAAGACATTTTATCTACAATGCTCAAAAACTAATTGAATTAAGAATTTTTATTTACTTTTTGGGTCTTAATATTTTAGACAACAAAAACCTTAAGTACTTGATTCCATGTACTTTATATCAGTTATTTGTAGTATTTGTGATCTGGCGCAGTGCATTGGGGGGCATGTAGAACATGGTGTCTCTCACTGAAGCATCAGCAGAGATGCTCAAGGCAATCTGGAGTTGTGAACAGGCTGTGGCCTGAGCATCCACACCTGTTGCCCTTGTGAGCCTAGTGGCTCTACTGAAGGTGTTGGGGGAAGCAGGGTGAGTTTCTCAAAAGCTAGTTATTCACTTGGGGTGGGGGCTGGTGCCTGGTTGCCATGTGTGGTGGGGAGATGGTGATAAATGAAACGTTGAGCATAACTACGGCTTATAGGGGATCTCAGAAAGATGGGCTGTGGGACGGTGAGCTGCGTGTGTATGAAACGTGGAGCATAACTACGGCTTATAGGGGATGTCAGAAAGATGGGCTGTGGGACAGTGAGCTGCGTGTGTATGAAACGTTGAGCATAACTACGGCTTTAGGGGATGTCAGAAAGATGGGCTGTGGGACGGTGAGCTGCGTGTGTATGAACGTGGAGCATAACTACGGCTTATAGGGGAT